CTTTTCTTCTTTTGTCTCTCCTCTATCCACTCACCCCAACCGGTCGAGGCAGAAGGCCGCCCACCAAGAGCCGAGGTCTGTCGGAGGTTTCTTCCGTTAAAGGGAGTTTTTCCTCCCCACTGTTGCCAAGTGCTTGCTCAAGGGGGATTTGTTGGGTTTTCCCTATGTAATAATATTGATAACAGTAAGGTCTAGACCTTACTTTGTAAATTATCCTGAGATGACTTTTGTTGTGATTTGGCGCTATACAAATAAAATTTGATTTGATGTACAAATGTCTCACAGAAAAAAGTAGTCTGTTTTTTTTTTTTTTTTTGGTCTCAAGTCTGTTCTGCTCTCTCCTCCTTTTTGAGCTCTAGCCAGAAGAGGAAACTGGCTAGTGCAAACTGGAGGGCTGTAATGTAGTTTCAGTGTCTGGGCCCCTGCGGTATAGTGCCCCCAGATGGAAAACCTCTCAGACTGTGTTGGCACATCACTGCTCCAATAATCAACAGCAGGAGTGCCCTTTCATTTCTATTAAATCTTTCTTCCTTTCTTCTTACTGCACGGTTCTTCTTCTTCTACTGTATGTGTGTACTGTCATCATGGCCCTAGCTCTTTTACCTCTACCCTAGACACTTTTCTTCTTATCTTCTGTCTCAATAATAATGCCTTTTTTTCCCTCACTCATCACTGCATGGTACTGCACTGAATCACTGCCACTCTCACCAAAGAATTACTTACATTATTCAGACCCAGCCAGGATTTGGACAGAAAACTTCTCTCTCTCTAAATGAAAGTATGGTGGACTCTGACGATGATCAGACTAACACAAACTACTGCTGAAACTCTACAGTCCTTAAGAGGACTATACTATCACATTAAAGGATATTAGGGAGTCTCTAATCAGAAGAGCAGTCTTATTGATTTCCTCCTCCCAACCTTCACATCAAGTCTCTTCTTCTTCTGTCCCCTTGCTTTTTCATTGATTATTGTTTTTTCTTCCTTCTTTAATTCACACACACACACACACACACACACACACACACACTTTATATCTGAGTTGACAACCAACTTCAAGTTTTTTCTATTTGTTTTTAACATTTCATAACATGATCTATTCAGTTGATGAGTAAATTGATGTAATGACTGATTTGTCTTTACCAGCAACAGCTACAGCATTGATCATTTTAGATATTTCTAAAATTGATAGTTGTACAAATGATTCATCTTTAAATCAATTTAACTTATATTAGATTCACTATTATAAATTGTAGAATTTTAAGATGCTTGCATTTCTGATTTCCCAGCAGTGAGTAAGATATTTCATTGACATACAGAA